AGTCGCCCATGCTGCGACGTCCGCGAGCGTGCAGGTGGCCGCGGGCCAGGCAGCGTGGGTCCGGTTGTCCGACCTGCCACGCGGGGCGGTGTTAAACCCGCGATTCACTGTAGACGAGGGATGGCGCTGGAAGTTGGAAGAATGGATACGCAAGGAATGGCGCATTCGCCGCGGCATGCACCGTCCCCTCCCCTGGGCGCCGCGCCGGGAGCCAACGCGTCCAGGTGCGCGCGATCGACGATTTCACTGCCACGGGCGTTAATGACTGCGCCGCCGCAGCCGAGAGGTGCAGGCGGGCCCTTTCCCCCCCCCCCCGCCCCTCGCGCGCGCTGTCCGCTCTCCCGTGTCGCCGCGACCGCGCGTAGGGTGGATTCTCTCGATGCGCTGGTCGAGCTGGCGCGGATCGCGGCCGCGGCCGGCACGCCGGTGCTGAGCAAAGAAGATTTCATCGGTGCTTACAAAACGTTGCCCGTGCGAGGCGCCGACCTCCCGTTGGCCCATTCGGTAAGGGCCAAGGGAGCCCGCGAGGGCTACTGTCTGCAACTCTTGAGCTGCCCCTTCGGCGCCGTGGGCAGCGGATGCGCTTGGGACCGCGTTGGGGCGGCGCTCCAGGCGCGAGGCGCGAGCGCCGCGGCGGCGCGGCGAGCGCCCCGCGAGCGCGGCAGGCCATCCTTGCCAAGCTGTTCTCGCTCGCTTCGGGCCGATTCGTGGACGATCTGTTCCGGGCCGACGCGGACAGGGGGCCCGGCACGGGCGGCCCCCGCGATGCCGCAGAGGTCCTGAGGGCGGTCGTCAAAGACCTTTTGGGCTGGCGCCTGGACGCCGGCAAACGCGTTGTTGCCGAGCCGAGGGCCACTGTGCTCGGCGTCGACGCGGAAGTGCGCGGATCGGGCGATGAGCTCTCGTTAGTATTCGCGATCGGTGGCGACAAGCGCCACAAATGGATCCAAGAGATCGAGTGGGTGCTGGAGGCAGGGAGAATGTCGCCGGCGGCGGCATCCAAACTTGCCGGCAGACTCGGATGGGGCTCCTCTGCGGTGTTCGGCAGAGGCACGCCCAAGCTCCCGCGCGCGAGCGACGCGCGCGCGCGAGAGCGACGGCAGGTGCCCGGGTATACCTCGCCCCGCTGTTCTGGCACGCGCAGCAGCGGGGATGGATGTTGAAGTCGCGGCTCCGCGGGGCATTGGAATGGTGGCTGCGCTTCCTCCGGAGCGCGCCGGAACGAGCGGTGCCCCTGCGGGTGACCCCGGAGCGGCCACGCTACCTCGTCTATTCCGACGCGACGGGCGGCGGCAGGCGACATACGCGCGCGCCTGTTTGGAACGGCGCCCGCATTGCCCGGCCCGCCCCGCCTCCGCAGGCTCGCGTGGGTCATCATGGGGCCCAGCGGTAAGCGGCTGATGTGCCTTCGTCGATCAAGCGGTGGACGAAGCACCGCAAGACGCAGGCGGGGGCGCCCCGGCCACGCGTAGCCTGGCGGACAGCCCGCCGTGTTGCGAAAGGTCGCGGCATGGGGACTCGTCGCGGCCGTTTGCGCCTTGCATCATTTGCTCGCGACGCTGCGCGATGCGGAAATCGTGTTGTTTGTCGTTTCGAAGGCGCGGCCGGGCGCGGGTCGCCGAGCTGCCCGTGCGATGCTCCGCTGACCGCGCCAGGCCGCGCTCGGGGTGCTCCTACGCGGGACCTCGCGCCAGGCAGATTATAACGCGCTCGTGGAAGATATTTGGTTCGCAGCAGCGACCGCGCGGTGCCTCCTGAGCGCGTGGTATGTGCCATCCGCGCTCAACGTGGCAGACGCCCCTACGCGGCCCGCCACGAAGGCGGCCGCGATTGCGGCCATGCACCGCGAGGGCTTCACCCGAGTGGCGTGGCCATGGCCCCGCGCGGCGCCCTGGCATTCGCGCGGGCAAGCATAGCAAGTAGCACAGGGCAATTTGTAGGGGGCGCAAAGGCTTGCGCGGCGAGCGCGTGACGACCAGGCCCGCCGCGAGAGGGGGCCCGCGGGCGCCATGCTTGCGTGCTTGTCACACGCGTCGCGGTGGACGCCCGAAAATGATTCGCATCCGGTAGGCGCGGGAGCTCTGCAGTGTCTGACATCCATGCTCGCAGCCGAAGGAGCGGCGCATCCCCCCGACCTGTCCGGATTCACGGCGAAGGAGGCGAGGGAAGTGTTCCCGTGCCTCCGGGAGTGGTCAGAGTGCTTCACCGTGACGCTTTTTACTCACGCGCGTAAGCTGACCCACGAAAAGGCAAAGCGGCCCCGGGAGGACGATGCAGCGGCATCGCTCTCCCAGGTCGAGCGCGCGCGCGCAACTCCGCCCCATCCGGCGGAGGAAGCAAGGCCGGCCGCCACCCGCTGACCCGTGGGCGCGAAGGCGGCGGAAACGTTACTCGAGAAAGCGGCCACGTGCCCGGCACCGGCACCGGGCTTGCGCGCGAAACGCCGGCCCGGCGGGGGTTTGACGCCTCAAGAAGCCCTCGCGTTGCTCTCAGCGGCAAGGCAGGCACGGCAGGCACCGCCGCGCGGCGCCACCGTCCTCGTGCACCGCGCGCGGCGCGGAGGCACCAGCGCCGCCGATGCTGGCAGAGGCAATCCGCCAGCTGACGAAACTCCAGGCTCCGCCCGCGATATTCATAAGCGAAGGCGGCAGCATTCCGCGGGAGGTGCGCGCGAGGCAGGACATCGGCGTGCGGCGGGTGCCAGGAACACCTCGTCGGCGCGCCGAGGAATTGCGGGTGTCAGGAGCAGGACTGGAGTGCATGCGCCGCATCCAGATGGCCGCGCTGTGGCGAGAATTCCACGCGTGGAAGCTCTCGGCATACCCGTATGCCTCGGCGGTGGAGTTGTGCGGCCAGGCGTGCGATGCGGGAGGCGTCCCGCCCTGGCCGCCGTGCGCCATCGCGCGGGACATGATGGTGGCGCTCTGTCGCCGCCCGGGGACCCTGTCGAACTATTTGCAGGGCATTCGCTCAGTCCTGCATCTGCTCCGCGCAGACACAGGGTCTTTGGCGGACACGCGGACCCTGGTATTCGGTGCCCGAAAGGTTCGGCCGCCGCGCGCGTCGGCCGCGAGCCCATGATATCGGCGGCAGGCGGAACCGCCTGGTGCGCA